CTATCTATCTATCTATCTATCTATCTATCTATCTATCTATCTATCTATCTATCTATCTATCTATCTATCTATCTATCTATCTATCTATCTATCTATCTATCTATCTATCTATCTAATCTAATCTAATCTAATCTAATCTAATCTAATATATCTTTATGCTCTTAAATTCTGGTAATGTTCGCAATTTAGGATGGTGTAAGAAATGAGGGCGTATTTTTAAATCATTTATATTAACTTCGCTTTTGTTCGCGGGTTTCCCTGTTGCACAATCTTCGGAATGCTAATGGACACAATTACCGTCCTCCTGTGGAGCTGAAACGTAGCTCATAGATTCGATGCCAATGACAACACTTCGATCAAATATCATCTCCACCCCCTACATTCAACCTCAAAAATCAGTTTTACCTTTTTTTTCAAGGGGAAGGTACGGTTATGATTTGCTCTATCGTTGAGTGTTTTCGTGTTGAGATTAATTGTGAAGCTTTTGCTATTGGCTTTGGGTTCCTAAATATCTTTAGTCTGCAGCTTTTACATGAAATAAGTTCGATTTTAAAAAAAAAATTTCCATATCAAAAATCACTTTCTACATACACATAATGATCAATAATGTAACATTTCACAAAGGCAAACACAAATGCATATACAATCATTTATACGAATAATTTTTTATTTTCTAGGGGTTGTTTAATCATTAAAATGTTTAATTTCATTGTTTTTTTCTTTGAATAGATGAAGACCTTCCTTGTGGTTCTCGCATTAGTTGCAATGGCCTCGGCCAGACCAACATTTGAGTTATCCTCAAAAGTAGAAAACAGAAATATTGATTTGGTAGCAATTGGAAAGGAAATCGATACCCTAGTTAGCACTATTGGAAGTCTCCTTGGATCCGGAAAAAGAAACATTGATTTGGCAGCTATTGGAAAGGAAATAGATACTCTAGTTGGCACCATTGGAACTATCCTTGGTGGAAAAAGAAATATTGATTTGTCAGCTATTGGAAAGGAAATTGATACTCTAGTTAGCACCATTGGAACTCTCCTTGGTGGAAAACGAAATATTGATTTGGCAGCTATTGGAAAGGAAATCGATACCCTAGTTGGTACCATTGGAACTATCCTTGGTGGAAAAAGAAATATTGATTTGGCAGCTATTGGAAAGGAAATCGATACCCTAGTTGGTACCATTGGAACTATCCTTGGTGGAAAAAGAAATATTGATTTGGCAGCCATTGGAAAAGAAATCGACACACTTGTTGGAACACTTGGAACTCTCCTTGGTGGAAAAAGAAACGCAGAAGATTTCCTCACAACTGTTCAACAAATCATCACAACTGTCGCTGGTGCCCTTGGATCAGGAAAGAGAAACCTTGACCTGGTTGCCCTTGGAAAAGATATTGACGTTCTTGTAAACCAAATTGGAACTCTCCTAGGTGGTAAACGAAACGCTGAGTCATTTCTAACGACCGTTCAAAGTACAATCCAAGCTATCGCCGCAGCTCTTGGCTCAGGAAAGAGAAACATTGACTTAGCTGCCATTGGCAAAGAAATTGACCAACTTATCAACCAAGTTGGAACACTTCTTGGAGGAAAGAGAAACGCCGAATCATTTCTTACAACAGTTCAAAGTGCCATCCAAGCAATAGCCGCAGCTCTTGGCTCAGGAAAGAGAAACGCTGAAGATTTCCTCACAACAGTTCAAAACATCATCACCACTGTCGCTGGTGCGCTTGGATCAGGAAAGAGAAACCTTGACTTGGTTGCCCTTGGAAAAGATATTGACGTTCTTGTAGACCAAATTTCAGCCATTTTCGGAGGAAAAAGAAACGCTGAAGATTTCCTTACCACAGTTCAAAATGTCATCCAGGTTGTAGCCGGAGCTCTTGGATCAGGAAAGAGAAACATTGACTTAGTTGCCATTGGCAAAGAAATTGACGCCCTTATCAACCAAGTTGGAACACTTCTTGGAGGAAAGAGAAACGCCGAATCATTTCTAACAACAGTTCAAAGTGCCATCCAAGCAATAGCCGCAGTTCTTGGCTCAGGAAAGAGAAACGCTGAAGATTTCCTCACAACTGTTCAAAACATCATCACCACTGTCGCTGGTGCGCTTGGATCAGGAAAGAGAAACCTTGACTTGGTTGCCCTTGGAAAAGATATTGACGTTCTTGTAGACCAAATTTCAGCCATTTTCGGAGGAAAAAGAAACGCTGAAGATTTCCTTACCACAGTTCAAAATGTCATCCAGGTTGTAGCCGGAGCTCTTGGATCAGGAAAGAGAAACATTGACTTAGCTGCCATTGGCAAAGAAATTGACCAACTTATCAACCAAGTTGGAACACTTCTTGGAGGAAAGAGAAATGCCGAAACATTTCTAACAACCGTTCAAAGTGCCATCCAAGCAATAGCCGCAGCTCTTGGCTCAGGAAAGAGAAATGCTGAAGATTTCCTCACAACTGTTCAAAACATCATCACCACTGTCGCTGGTGCGCTTGGATCAGGAAAGAGAAACCTTGACTTGGTTGCCCTTGGAAAAGATATTGACGTTCTTGTAGACCAAATTTCAGCCATTTTCGGAGGAAAAAGAAACGCTGAAGATTTCCTTACCACAGTTCAAAATGTCATCCAGGTTGTAGCCGGAGCTCTTGGATCAGGAAAGAGAAACATTGACTTAGCTGCCATTGGCAAAGAAATTGATCAACTTATCAACCAAGTTGGAACACTTCTTGGAGGAAAGAGAAACATTGACTTAGCTGCCATTGGCAAAGAAATTGACCAACTTATCAACCAAGTTGGAACACTTCTTGGAGGAAAGAGAAACATTGACTTAGCTGCCATTGGCAAAGAAATTGACCAACTTATCAACCAAGTTGGAACACTTCTTGGAGGAAAGAGAAACGTTCAATCAATTGTTGGATCCATCATTTCTTAAAGACTATTTAAATAAAAAAAATGTCTTTAAATTGTTCCTGAATGACTTTTTATTTTTTTAATGACCTTCAATGATTGAGGAAAACTGCTCCATAATTTAGGCTTAATAGCTTCAAAGTGCAGACCCGATATGACTTCGTCTGTGTCCTTTAGTTGCCCCTAGCACCCTTCTCCTCGGGGGTGGGGGCTGATTGAATCATATTAGCTCCTCTGGGAACGTGGCTATAGCATACCTTAAACAAAATATATTTTTTTTTAAAATGATATTATAAAGCTCAAAGAGTTTTTGTTGATAATGAATTTGATTAATCAATCATGGGCTACAAATTTACACTTGGGATTAAGATAGGCATCCAAATATGCAATAAAAGATTATAATAAAAAAATAATTAATCTTTTATCACGCGCTTGATATTGATGAAAATGGGTTAAAATTGAATTGACCTGCCAAACAATGTCGAAGGAAATGCGTGGAATTGCTTGTACAAAAAGTACCTGTCAACATATGTGTTCAGTTTACACATCTCTTGAAAATCCCAATTAGTGCAAACTCCTGGGATATTTATTTGGCGTGTCTTTTAAATATTGCGCTACAGCCATGCAAACATTCCTTGGGAATTATTACTTGTGAAAATCCTTGTGACATTAATAATAATATAATAATAAGAGGTCTAATATAGGGCGGTACCCCATCCTGTGGCTGGGGTCATATTTATTTTTTCAAAAGAGAAATAATCATGACATTAAAATAAAACACATTTATGAAATAAAGAACAGCAATGTATACTCACCCACCCCATCACATAAATTTTACAAGGCAAACATTGGACGGCAGCCAGCAAGATCGTTTATCGGTCAGAGGAGGGGAATCAGTCAGGGTAGTATAAGTTAAAAAAGATGTGTTTTTAGTGTAGTTTTGAAGGCCTGGGTGGTTGGTATATTGCATATGTGTAGTGGCAAAGAATTCCATTGGTTGGGGCGCAGAAAGAGAAAGATCTTTCACCATATGTTTTAGCGTGTGTCTTGGGAACGGACAGAATACGCTTGTCTACAGAGGAGCGAAGTTGTCGAAGGGGTGAATAGACAGAAAGAAGTTAGGTTAGATAGGAAGGGCAGGAATCCAAGAAAAAGTTGTGACAGAGAACAGACAACTTGTAGTCAATGCGTGCCTGTATAGGTAGCCAATGAAGGGAATGGAGTAGTGGAGTGACGTGATCACGTTTTGTTGCCTATAAAACTAGAATAGCAGTTGAGTTTTGAACTTTCTGCAGTTTGTCTATGCAGTGTTTTGGTGAACCTGACAGAAGAGAGTTGCAATAGTCAAGACGAGAGAGAACAAGAGCACACACTAGAGTTTTTGTAGCGCTAACTGTGAGGTAGTGGCGTATGGAGCTGATCTGACGGATAGCGGTGTATGCTGAACGACAAATGTGAGATATGTGTTTATCGAGAGACATGTTGTTAGAAAGAATATAACCAAGATTCATATCAGAGGGTGTAAACCGTACGTCAGAGTTACCTACTTGAAATGAGGTAGGAAGAGTTGAGGTAGAGGATGATGTGTGATTGTGGATGGGGAGTGCTTCAGTTTTGTCATCATTAAGCTTCAATGCACCCCCGCAAAGTCTGGACAGTGGATTCAACAAGAGAAGGATGGGTATGCTTGTATAGCTGTGTGTCATCTGCAAATGACTGGCTCTCAACAGCATGCCTCCCAAGCAAGAGGAGCAGTGTAGATGTGGTGGTACAGATTTGATTTTCTAGATGTGGGGGGTGCAGATGTGATTTTCTAGATGTAGTGGTGCAAATGTGATTTTGTAGATGTGGTGGTACAGATGTGAATTTTTAGATGTGGTGGTACAGATGTGATTTTGTAGATGTGGTGGTACAGATGTGATTTTGTAGATGTGGTGGTACATATGTGATTTTGTAGATGTGGTGGTACAGATGTGATTTTGTAGATGTGGTGGTACAGATGTGATTTTGTAGATGTGGTGGTACAGATGTGATTTTGTAGATGTGGTGGTACAGATGTGATTTTGTAGATGTGGTGGTACAGATGTGATTTTGTAGATGTGGTGGTACAGATGTGATTTTGTAGATGTGGTGGTACAGATGTGATTTTGTAGATGTGGTGGTACAGATGTGATTTTGTAGATGTGGTGGTACAGATGTGATTTTGTAGATGTGGTGGTACAGATGTGATTTTGTAGATGTGGTGGTACAGATGTGATTTTGTAGATGTGGTGGTACAGATGTGATTTTGTAGATGTGGTGGTACAGATGTGGTTTTGTAGATGTGGTGGTACAGATGTGATTTTGTAGATGTGGTGGTACAAATGTGAATTTTTAGATGTGGAGTGTTGATGTGATGGAGTGGTTTTTTTAATTCTTGATCACCATGGATTCAAATAAAAAAACGACTAATTTATATTTTATTGTTGTTGTTCGTTTACTGAATTGTAACACAAAACTAATTTACCGAAATTTCGCACTAAACTAATATACTAAAATTTTATACAAAACTAATTTCCTGAAATTTGCGCAAAATAATTTACTGAGACTTTGCGACATACTAAGTTACTGAAATTTTGCGCAAAACTAATTTACTGAAATTTTGCGCAAAACTAATTAATTTACTTAAAATTTAAGAAATATCGAAAGAGTTGAAATACATGTGGGGCGAATATCCAAATAAGTTCAATAGAAGGAACGACTGCAGCACCATTCGTGTTTTCTGAGGTAGAGATAAGATTCCTTCAGCGAGAGTGTTGGAAAACTTATTGTTCGCGAAGCGCCAATCCTCTCTTTCTTTAAAGTTTTTTTTTTGGTCTCCACTCACACTTCTATCTTGTGGGGCGCAATCTGGTGTGTGTGGGGGGTGTTTATTTGGTCGTTGACACGCGTGATACTTTAAGACATTCTCGTGCAGCGTTTACTTGGTGAACGGCTGGAGAAGGTCGGGTGAATGAGTGCGGGAGCTCCTTAACGACGGGTCCACGAGGGCGGGTTGACGCTGGGTCCAGGAGGGCGGGTTGACGCTGGGTCCACGAGGGCGGGTTGACGCTGGGTCCACGAGGGCGGGTTGACGCCGGGTCCACGAGGGCGGGTTGACGCTGGTCGCTCAAAGTATCGTGTGTGACCGCGTCTTCTTCTCGTTTGAGTGAGCGGGATGGTCAGGTAAGACCAGATTTACATTTCAGTTTTATGTCTAGGTAATGAGTTGAAAATGACCGTAACTAGGATTTTGTAAGCATTCGATGTTAGAACAATTAAATTATTCAAATGTTGCCTATAACTATAAGATTATAATTTTAATGCTAAAAATTAGAAAATAATTTTAAAAAGTTAAAAACTTTTAAAATAAAAAAGACTTTCCATCATACACGAATTAAAACTAACTAAAAAGTAGAAAATTAATAAATAAAAATCTTTAAAATGACCTATGCATTTCAACGACAGCTTCAGCATACCACCACCACGAAAACGACAGATGCAGCATGCAGCCAGCACGATAGCTTCATCATGCCACCACCACCACTTCGACAGCTTCATCATGCGGTCATCACAACTTCATCATGCCACCACCACCACCACGACAGCTTCATCATGCCACCACCATGACATAATCTCCATTACACATTAACCTATTTTCCTCTTCACATGCCTCGACACCATTTTATCACTATCATGACACCACTTTATCACTATCCCGGCACCACTTTATCACTATCCTGACACCATTTTATCACTATCCTGACACCACTTTATCACTATCCCGACACCACTTTATCACTATCCCGACACCACTTTATCACTATCCCGACACCACTTTATCACTATCCCGACACCTGATAGAAAATGTAGATAAATAACAGAAAGGAAAGAGGAACAAAAAAGATGGGTGTAATACTTTAAAGAACTATTAAACAGAACCCCCACCCACAGACACATCATACATACAACCAGCAAATGAAGACTTACAAAGAGAAGAAAGCGCACCAAATAAGGAAGAAATAGCTCTGGCCATGAAGCAGCTCAAATTCAGGAAAGTACCGGGACCGGATAACATCATAGCAGAGATTATTACAAATTACAGAGGAATCACACTGGTGTCTGTACTAAGAAAGGTCTTTAACAGAGTAATTTTGAATAAAATGAAAGACCAGGTCGACTTGCCGCTACGAGATCAACAGGATGGCTTCCTCCGAAACAGATAATGCACAGATCAAATTGCAACACTAAAAATCATTGTAGAACAGTCCATCGAATGGAATTCCCTCCTAAATGTACGTTTTATAGACTACGAAAAGGCCTTTGATAGCCTGGACTTATAAACCTTGTGTAAACATCTTCGGCGCTAGGCACTATGGAGTACCAGGGAAACTAGTCATTATCATTCAGAGCTCTTATGAAGAAATGACATGCAGGGTGGTCCACGAAGGTAGACTCACAGATTCCTTTACAGTCGAAAAAGAAGTAAGACAAGGATGCCTCTTGTCCCCATTTCTCTTCATCCTTGTCATTGACTGGATACTGAAAAAATCCACAGACAAAAAGAGGAATGGGATACTGTGGACACTCCGGGAGCAACTGAAAGATTTAGACTTTGAAGGCGATATTGCACTTCTGTCCCACAACCAGCAGCAAATGCAGCAAATGCAGCACAAGACAAAAGAAATGGCTGCCTTTTCAGCACAGCTTGGTCTCAATATAAATAAAAGCAAAACGAAAATCATGAAGGTAAACTCATCCAAACAAGACATATCTGTCTTGCAGGAAAGGCACTGGAGGAAGTGGAGTCCTTCATATATTTAGGCAGCACCATTGACACAAATGGCAGTTTCGACGTGGACGTAAGGGCCAGAATTGGAAAAGCTAGATCTGCATTTGTGCTATTAAAGAAAATATGACAGTCGAAGGAGCTGAAACTGCAAACCAAAGTTAGAATCTTTAATACAAATATGAAAAACAACTCTACTATATGGAGCAGAAACTTGGAAAACAACAGCGAGCATTACGCAGAAAGTGCAGACATTCATAAACACATGCCTTAGAACAAATCTGAACATCAAATGGCCAAATACCATCACCAAAAAAATTCTTCTAGAAAGGTCATACCCGGTGCCGATTAATGAAGATATCATAAAGAAAAGATAAAGGTGGATAGCGCATATGCTCCGGAAACCCCCAGATAACCTACCAGACAATGCCTAACCTGGAACCCAGAGGAAAAAAGAAAGAGATGAAGGCCTAAGAATATATGAAGACGCGAGCTAGAGGCAGACACGCAAAACATGGGAAGCAACTGGAAAGGAAAGCACAGGGCAGTGATGAGTTGAAAATTCTTGTGGAAGGCATATGCCCCAAACGGGGTAAAAAGGCATAAGTAAATAAGTAAGACACCAGCTCGCCTAAACCAATTCACAAATGACACTAAACAAGCCCCACCTCAACGGCCCCATCACACACTCTTCTCCTCACTGACGTATATAAACATTATCACATCTACATTATATTGTGACGACAAAACTCAAAAGAAGGGTTTACGTCTTGGAATAAATAGACAATTTTTTTATTTATTATTTTGACACGCAACTTCATGTCACTGAATACATTGATTGTCCTAAAGCAAGCATTCACAGTGGGAACCATCTAACCGCTTAACACATGGAAAACATTTCACATGTTGACACACGGCAAGCACTCGGCTCCATGACACAGGGCACACGTTAAACTTTTTGACACAGCAAAGATTCAACTTGTTGACGCACAAGCAAACATTCAACTTCTTATCTTTTAGCAAACAACCTGTTGACACACAGCAAACATTCAACTTGTTTACACACAACAAACATTCAGCTTGTTTACACACAACAAACATTCAACTTGTGGACACACAGCAAAATTCATCTTGGCTATGGAAAATAAACATATTTTTCAACACACTGCAAAAATTAAGCTTCTTGAATGCACGGTCAAAAGACAACTTGATAGAGACATTTGCAAACATTCAAATTGCTTGACATATACAAATATTGGCACAATTACAAAAATCAAATAATTTTTCTTGGGTAATCGCTTTTGAAAAAAAAAAATGCTTAATTTCCTTTGCATATCTTTCAAATCAAAATAAGAAAAAAAAATATTCATTTAAGTCATATAATAAAACCGATTAACAGTTTTCCCTCCATATATTCATACTCATATGTATGTCCGCTTCATGTTGACACAAAAAAGCCTCCAGTCTTAGAAAACAGTTAAGTCTCCAGTCATAGGAAACAACCAAGCCTCCAGTCATAGAAAACAACTAAGCCTCCAGTCTTAGAAAACTACCAAGCCTCCAGTCTTAGAAAACAACCAAGCCTCCAGTCTTAGAAAACTACCAAGCCTCCAGTCTTAGAAAACTACCAAGCCTCCAGTCTTAGAAAACAACCAAGCCTCCAGTCTTAGAAAACAACCAAGTCTCCAGTCATAGAAAACAGCCATTTTCCAGTCATAGGAAACAACCAAGCCTCAAGTCATAGAACACAACCAAGCCTCAAGTCATAGAACACAACCAAGCCTCCAGTCATAGAAAACAGCCATTTTCCAGTCATAGGAAACAACCAAGCCTCAAGTCATAGAACACAACCAAGCCTCCAGTCATAGAAAACAGCAATTTTCCAGTCATAGGAAACAACCAAGCCTCAAGTCATAGAACACAACCAAGCCTCAAGTCATAGAACACAACCAAGCCTCCAGTCATAGATGATGTGACAAGCAAATATCTAGTTCTACATCTGGCGTCCCCGGATCAGCACAGTGAAGTGTCGGTGGGGGTGGGATGGTGTCGACAGCATCATCAGGTAGCGCCACGCATGAGAAAGACACGTCCTTTTCCACGACGAATGAAGACACAGCTAGGAGTACCCCGGGGTCATCAGGTGGGTCAATGTCTAGCGTCAGGGTGTGGCTCTTTCTTTGAGTGTCATCGAGTGCAGCACTAGAAGATCCAAACAATTGACCCGCGCCGTCAACCAAAGACGGGAGTTCGTAGACAGCGTTTGCAACGTCCGAGTCTAAAGAAGGGGAAGAACTCAAGCAGGAAAGCTTATTTCGCATGGAATCGCGGATTATTGGCCTTTTCCCAAACCCGAAGACCTCGGCGTCCATGGCCGAGCTGTCGGGGAAGAAGTCCTCCTCCGCCAAGTCGTCGGCGCCACACTGCAGGAGGTCGTCTGCCGAACCTATGCTGGAGTCTGACTTCACAGACGACACGTCGACGAAGGGGTTGGTAGGCGACGGCGGGGTGATGACGATGATGGGCAACAGCAAAATCGCAACGTGGCTTCCTGAGTTATCCGTGGGGCTGGTTATCGTTGGCTCTGTGACCGAGTATCTGTCAAGTGCCCTGATTTTGGAGCTGCAATAAAAAAAATTTGAAAAAAACAACTATAATATAAAAAAAAAATCTTATCATAAATTAACAATGTAAAAAAAAAAGAAAAAAAGAAAGAAAGGTCACAATGGGCTTTTGCCGAAAATGGATAATAATTTAATGAGTTAGGGAATTTGGATCAGTGACACCGATGGATAGTAGCGGATCCAGAAATTTTGGGCAACCGGTGCAAATGTTGACCAAAATAGATACCGTATATATTTACCAAGGGATTACCCCAGGTTTTACAGTGAAAGAAGAGTGAGCGCCGAAGCATATCCAATAAGAAACAGTTGAAGCCACGCATTTCTTGAAGGAATAGGGTTTGAAATGAGCTTAAGAGAGGTTTGACATGGGTTCTACAAATAAAACGTATGGAAACAGTGCAACGGGTCCAGAAGATGACCTTGGAGCACTGTCATTCCAAAAGAAACTCATTTATCTTATCTGGTAAGTGATCTTGGAACTGTACACGTTTACGTACCCCTAAAATAGACCTTATATTTAATAACTATTGCCTGGGATGCGCTCAGCTGTCGAATTTGAAACCCAATTCCTTATTCAAGGGTTCTAAAAAGGAACTTCAATTCATTACTTTCTCACTGCTAAGGGACCCTCGCCCCCACCTTTTACACCCCACAAACACACACATACTAAACAGTGACTTTCCATGAAGTGTCTGTTGGCTGGGCCGGATCAGCTTCTTTAGTCCAACCCTGTGCCCGCCTCTATTTCCCCCCCCCCCCCCCCCCCCCCCCCCCCCACGATCTAGGGTTCTAAAAAGGTACTGCAATTTATTACTCTCTCACTGCTAGGGGCCCCGCGCCCCCTCCTTTTCCACCCCACAACCACACCCATACTAAACAGTGACTTTCCATGAAGTGTCTGTTGGCTGGGCCGGATCAGCTTCTTTAGTCCAACCCTGTGCCCGCCTCTATTTCCCCCCCCCCACCCCCTACCTGCCGAAACTTTAGATGGATTACTTGCTGACTAAAGAAAATAACATGAATTACCTATTGACTAGGTGAACACCCCCACTCGCTAAATTGAAAACAACATGAATTACCAATTGGCTAGGTGAACACCCCCACTCGCCAAATTGAAAATAAAACATGAATTACCTATTGGCTAGGTGAACACCCCCACTCGCCAAATTGAAAATAAAACATGAATTACATATTGGCTAGGTGAACACCCTCACTCGCCAAACTGAACATAAGATGAACTACCTAATCTGGGCCATCTCCTGACTCACATTTTAAACGACCTCACCCGCAAATTTCAGACCTCTCATAGATTACCTAATGATTGGGTGGGGGTCCTCTGTCTTTCTGGAAATATAACCCTCTCCCCCCCCCCTGGCCACTCTGAGACTTTATTTGAATTACCTACTGACGGGGCGGGCAATCTGCAGCACCATATCGTCAACATCGGCGTTGTCTGCGACCCTCTGCCTCTTCTTCCTGCCGCTGATCCAGCTGCACGACACTGCCCACAGGGCACTGACTGAACACATGAGGACCAGCAGCATGACGACCACGGGCGTCTCCACAAGCTCGCCGGTCCGGTCATCCATTGGCCGTGGCATCTGAGGGGATTGACAAGCAAGGGGTAGTGTTTGAGTTACAGAAACTGATAACAACTTTTTTTTCTTCAGCAGCTTACTGTGTCTGTACAACGACTCGCTAAATCAAGGTTTCTCAACTGTTTTTTTTTTTTTTTGTTTTTTTGCCAGGTCTTAAACCGTCTACAAAAGTAACAAATTAATTTTAAAATTAAAAAAAAAAATGGACTTGTAGTTTAAATTAGTTTAATTAATTATCATGATTACTTTTATTTTTTAATGACAATGACAGGGCTAGAGAAAAATCTGAAGGACAAATTATTTTTTCCCCCTTTCTCTTATATTATTTATGTAAATAACATTACACTAAATGGAGAGATCAAGACCAAATTCGGCGCAAATACCTTTCAAAATTTATATTGAAAATTTGTAGGGTTTTGAACTCATGCCATTCACCGTGGTCGGGGCCATGGACTCGCATTTCCGTATTCCCATTCTTCCAAATTTTTTAACCGATTTGAAGGGGAGAACTTTTACATTTCAACTTGACTAATTTTTCTGATGAGTTATTTAGAGTCGCTATCTTTGTTATAATGAAAACGTCACCTATCTGTAAGGGGTTTGGGTGGAGGGGGGAGGGGGGTAAGCGCAATGTTATTTGAAATGTAGCGCTTTATCTCTTGCGTTTTTCAAAAAAAATTTCATTTGACACATTTTGAGATAAATTTTGGTCGTTATGCAAACCTAAAATAAGCACTGCTGTGAAATGTTTAAAAATTGAGATATTTTTGCACAGGGGTGTCGATATCAAATATTTTAACAAAAGCAAAACCTTGTCAAATTCCTTTCGGTTTTTAATGGATTATATTTGAAAAATTTAACTTGAATTGTATCTGAATGCATTGTTATTGAACCTTTATCGGAAATGATCCCGTTTTCGACTGGATCTTCTATACCATTTCAATTGATCAACTGACCTTTTGTTTTTTTTATAAGACATCTTTTAAAAGTTAGAATTGTTTTTTAATCATGATATTTTTGGCGGCGCTTGGCTTGAATATCAACTGATACGATATGGGCCCCGAATACAATGTTAGCCTGAGTTATTAAAAATCTGGCTTTTTTTAAAGGAGAAAATTTTACATTTTAATTGGTGCTTATGGGAATCGTTTTTGGCGGGGCCCTAAATTTACGCGTGCGCTTATAACTCGTTAGAATTTTTGTTTTCCGAATACAAACCCGAGAACGCCGGGTATATTGGCTAGTAGTACACTAATGAGCAGTCTCCACTAAAGTATAAAGAAAGCCGATTTAGAGAAAAAAAATGGCGCTAAAGTTGCTAGTACACACGCAACTTTTTCTTGCTGATATGGCGCATCGCTGTGGTTACAATTAGCATCCACGTTTAGAAGTTGGGATCGGTACAAAAGAATGCTAGATCTGGGAAAGCTTGAGATCGGTACAAAAGAATGCTAGATCTGGGAAAGCTTGAGATCGGTACAAAAGAATGCTAGATCTTGGAAAGCTTAACATTAAAAAAAAAATCATTTTTGACCTGCGGCCATTGTTTTCGTTTTCATAGAAGATACAAATTCCCTGTAGCACCAACGTGGACCAATTTTCGGTGCGCAATACGAGACGCGCATTAAAATATTCGGCACAAGATTTAATGCTACCTATCCCCTATGAAGTAACTGGATGTAGTGTGTCATAAATAATGAAATTTCGGTAATTATGAAGCATTTTGAGCCATGGGAAATGGTTCGATCCATGAGATCCACTTTCCTGTGAGAGATAATAGAGAATAAGAGAGAAAAGAAAAAGAGTAAGAGAGTGTGTGTGTGTGTGAGAAAGAGAGAGCGAGAGAGAGAGAGAGAGAGAGAGAGAGAGAGAGAGAGAGAGAGAGAGAGAATGACTGCAGGATAGACACACATTAAGGATCTATAGATAGAGGTTTATGTTGATGATATATATATGTATATATTTAAGACGTTTTCCACCACACACAACAGGAATAAATTATGGTAGTATTTTATTATGATATTTTAAAAGTGTACAATGTATACTATATTATGTTAAACAAATACATGTTGATAAAAGTAATGCATTTAAATAAAATGTACTCTTTTCTTAATCGATCAATCTATAACAGTAGTGCCGCGACTCTTTAATACATTTCTTCATGCTGTGGTTACCCCAAACCTTAAAATTACATTCGTTGCTACTTCATAAATTTGTGTTTTCCANTTTTTTTATTTTTTTTTTTTTTTTTTTTTTTTTTTTTTTTTTTTTTTTTTTTTTTTTGGGGGGGGGGGGGGGGGAGAAATAATACTGAAACAATAAAGACAATATATTTTTCTAGCCATTCCCGTATCGATTCGATCTTAGAGAAAACTGGGGAAAATACCTGATTATATCAAACTGAAAATAGGTCATTATCTGATTCTATCAAGTTAAACAAGGAAAATATCTGATTATATCAAGTTGAAACTAAGACAATATCTGATTACATCAAGTTAAAACTAGGACAATACGTGATTATATCAAGTTGAAACTAGGAACATATCTGATTACATCAAGTTAAAACTAGGACAATATCTGATTATATCAAGTTGAAACTAGAGCACTATCTGACCATGTCGAAGACTGCAATAAGTTCGAGTGTGTAGAGGATAAATAGGTTATAACAACGTGAAGCAGATATCGTTGTCCCCCACCTCAACCTTCATATGAGCACTGTCCGAATACATTCATGTACCAGCATTTCGATTTTTAGCCCCCCCCCCCCCCCCCCCTCATCTCATTGATTTATCATCATAAATAATTCAGCTGTCTGTTGTTAAATAGAGTTGTGTCTGGCTTTGCTGCTACGGCATATTATCTGTCTGTTGTCACACCCTAACCGGTCTGCGTAGAAGAAGGACCCAAAGGAGCAGTTTCGGGTGCCCTATTTCCTGCCAACTTTTGTTTGACCATCTACAGCTCGTTGCTTGATGTAATTGCGTGGCAAAGAGTCTGTGTGACGTCAAAGACCGCCCTAAGTGTAACACTAAAATAACTGCCTGGGTTTTACCATTTGTCCTGCAATACAGCCGACCGATACCGTATTTCACTCGATTATTGCGTTTTCTTTTTCATCCGGTTTCATTCGACATTTGCCATGTTTTTAATCTTCCACACCAGTGGTTCTCAACCTTTCTAATGCCGTCACCCTTTAACACACTTCCTCATGTTGTGGTGACCCCATCTATAATACTTTATTAATATGTGTTTTCCGGATGGCTTTGGTGACTCCTGTGTATGGGCCACGACCCACAGGTTGAGAACCACTGTTCTATACACCCCAAAACAGGTTTTCTTTCTGTACGACCGGTTAGCAAAAAATATATTTTCGGCGAGAAGAGAGCGAATAGATTGGTCCCGCCTTCACATCATATCTCGCTGCCGTTATTCGGAAATATAAATATGATTTGGAGGACGATACCATTAATTTGAAAGATGGGTAGTGGGCAGTCGTCTCCTGGTGATACTTTTTTAAAATATTTACATGCAGTGGCGGCATTTTCGGATAACTTCAGAGTGCCACTAACCATAGCAACGCCGCTATCATCTATACCCAAATCAGCATTTTACAAGCAAATAGTCTTCTATAGTGAAACAGCCTTCTAAACACACGGGTCTTTCTTAGTAGTAAAGATATTTCCACGGACATGTGTTGTTGCGCTATCGCTTTGTCCTCGGTGTTTATCTTGTAATCGATTTTTTTTTCAAGGGATCGATACGTCAGCAGTTTTTTTTTTTTTTTTTACAGCGTGTTTTAGCTTCTTCCTTGTAACAGAAGTGCATTCGGGCGTCTTTAGCTCAACTGGTAAAACACACGGGTCTTTCTTAGTAGTAAAGATATTTCCACGGACATGTGTTGTTGCGCTATCGCTTTGTCCTCGGTGTTTATCTTGTAATCTATTTTTTTTTCAAGGGATCGATACGTCAGCAGTTTTTTTTTTTTTTTATACAGCGTGTTTTAGCTTCTTCCTCGTAACAGAAGTGCATTCGGGCGTCTTTAGCTCAACTGGTAAAACTGGCTTTATTAAGTCTCCCGTCCATTCGGTCGCACGGAAGACCAAGAACTTCTTCCCACAGATTTCCGCGGCACACCTAGACCCTTCCCAGATTTCCGCGGCGCATGGCGATTGAAAGATGAAGAAACATAAACTTCTCTTCCTGGACCTTGCTGGTGCTTGATCTCGGGTTGGGAGGGGGTTGGGGTGTTATTGATGGCGAGGCCGTAGTTGTCGCAGGACTTGGCAAAGTGATCTACAATTGGTTGCATTGTCATTTCCTAGCTTGCATTTAGGGCTCAGGGCTAGTAACAGGTCTCGAATAACTGTCTCTGTATCTTTCGTGATGGCTTTTCAGTCTCGAAATAACATAAAATAGCCCTCTTTCCTCTATCTGATAGGAATTACGTCATTATTGTCAAGGAAAGCCTCTAAAAAATGTTGTAGAGACACTGTAGCAGTCTAATGCCGCTCTTTGTCAAATCATGTATTGTCACATATTTGTTCATGGATATCAGTTGCAATCGTTGCATATAGTGTAGGTATTTTTTTTCTCCAAAACTCAACATTTGTTGTGGATCAATTATTTGTTAGTTCCAAGATTTTTCTAACAGGAAGTGTTAAGGGGAAATCATGCTTATCAGCTAGTATCCGTGTAAATAAATAGATGTGTTTGTTGTTTTTTTTTGTTTGTTTTTTTTTTTGGGGGGGGGGGGGAATGATATGGCTTGGGGTAAAGAAGAGGTCGGAGGAAGGGAGAGGACAGTTGATTTGGTGGTAAGTCGAAGACTTGTCGAAAAGGGTAGAATCTTGAGTTCAAAGGGAAGGAGGTTAACGTCAAAGGATAGTTGGTTAAGGTCAAAGGGTAGTATGTTAAGGTTAAAGAATGGTATGCTAAGGTTAAAGGGTAGAGTCTTAAGTTCAAAGAAGAGAATGGTAAGGCCAAATGGTAGGAGGTTAAGGTCAAAGAGTAGGTGGTTAAGGTCAACGGGTTGTCAAAGGGTAATATCAAAAGGTCAACGGGTAGAATCTTAAGGTAAGAGTAGGTGGTTCAGGTCAACGGTTGGTAGGTTAAGGTCAAAGGGTTATAATTTAAGGTCAAAGGGGAGAATCTTAAGTTCAAATAAGAGAATCGTAAGGCCAAAGGGTAGGAGGTTAAGGTCAAAGAGTAGGTGGTTACGGTCAAAGGGTAGTATGAAAAGGTCAAAGGGTAGGATTTTAAAGTCAGAGTAGGATGTTAAGGTCAACGGGTGGTAGGTTAAGGTCAAAGAGTTATAAGTTAAGGACAAAGGATAGAAAGTTATGGTCAAAGATTAGGAGGTTAAGTTCAAAGGGTTGTAGTTTAAGGTCAAATTATATTATGTTAAGATCAATGGATAGAATCTTAAGGTCAAATGGTAGGAGGTTAAGGTAAAATTGTAGGAAGTTAAGGTAAAATGGTGGTAGGTTTAGCAGAGAAGAAAAAAAGGAAAAAAGCAGACCGAAAATGGTAAAATTGTGAAGTTGCAATTACAGTATTTATTGGCGTATAACACGCTCATTTTCTCCCTGAAAATAGGGGGCAAATGATGTCTGCGTGTTATATGCCGATATAATGCTAAGGATCCATAGTACATACAGCATAGCGGCGCGAATGGTGTGTGTTATATGCCGATATAATGCTAAGGATCCATAGTACATACAGCATAGCGGCGCCAATGGTGCATGTTATATGCCGATATAATGCTAAGGACCCATAGTACATACAGCATAGCGGCGCCAATGGTGCGTGTTATATGCCGATATAATGCTAAGGACCCATAGTACATACAGCATAGCGGCGCCAATGGTGCGTGTTATATGCCGATATAATGCTAAGGACCCATAGTACATACAGCATAGCGGCGCCAATGGTGCGTGTTATATGCCGATATAATGCTAAGGACCCATAGTACATACAGCATAGCGGCGCCAATGGTGCGTGTTATATGCCGATATAATGCTAAGGACCCATAGTACATACAGCATAGCGGCGCCAATGGTGCGTGTTATATGCCGATATAATGCTAAGGACCCATAGTACATACAGCATAGCGGCGCCAATGGTGCGTGTTATATGCCGATATAATGCTAAGGACCCATAGTACATACAGCATAGCGGCGCCAATGGTGCGTGTTATATGCCGATATAATGCTAAGGACCCATAGTACATACAGCATAGCGGCGCCAATGGTGCGTGTTATATGCCGATATAATGCTAAGGACCCATAGTACATACAGCATAGCGGCGCCAATGGTGCGTGTTATATGCCGATATAATGCTAAGGACCCATAGTACATACAGCATAGCGGCGCCAATGGTGCGTGTTATATGCCGATATAATGCTAAGGACCCATAGTACATACAGCATAGCGGCGCCAATGGTGCGTGTTATATGCCGATATAATGCTAAGGACCCATAGTACATACAGCATAGCGGCGCCAATGGTGCGTGTTATATGCCGATATAATGCTAAGGACCCATAGTACATACAGCATAGCGGCGCCAATGGTGCGTGTTATATGCCGATATAATGCTAAGGACCCATAGTACATACAGCATAGCGGCGCCAATGGTGCGTGTTATATGCCGATATAATGCTAAGGACCCATAGTACATACAGCATAGCGGCGCGAATGGTGTGTGTTATATGCCTGTACGTGTTATACGCCAATAAATATGATCATTATGCCGTTAAAAACGTATTAAATTGTTGCTCCCCCCCCCCCATATTATTTTACACGAGTTATCTGTAGCCATTTGCCGTGATTATGCTCATAAGAATTGTAAATAGACTTGGTTCAGATTTTTTAACACAAGACCTTGCTTTTCAATTTGATTTGACCACTCTAATATATAACGTGGAGTTTATCGCGACGCGAGAGGATAGATACCTGTGGGTACAAGAGGTTAAAAACAGCCAGTGAAGGTGTGAATAGTTTTAGTGTACACTAATGTACATTCATAGCGTTTACAGTGTATGTGATACATATTTGGTGGTGTCTGTGTAAACTGCATACACGTGAACGCATAAACCATATGTTCATATGCAAAATGAGTTTTTTTAAAATTATTTTTACAGTATATGTTTGGTTGTTATTTTTACATCCTTGTGACGTCACGTCAGAGCTTTTGTGGGGGCTCAGGGTGTGTGTGTCAAAATATCAGATGTTTTGGGGCTTAAAGTGTGTGTGTCAACATATCAGATGTGTGGAGGCTTAAGGTGTGTGTCAAGAAATCAGATGTCTGGGGGCTTAAGGTGTGTGTGTCAACATATCAGATGTGTGGGGGATTAAGGTGTGTGTGTCAACATATCAGATGTGTGGGGGCTTGAGGTGTGTGTGTCAAAATGTCAGATGTGTGCGGGCTTGAGGTGTGTGTGTCAACAAAACAGATGTGAGGGCTTAAGGTGTATGTGTGTGTTGGTTGTTTTCATTTGTGATGAAATATTTCCAGAGAAGAATTTTTTTAACTACCAACAATCGAAATCCTAGCAGAAGAATTTACGCAGTACATGCTGTGAAAAGCGTGGAATCTGAGGCGAGAAAAAGGAAGTTGAATTATCTTACTGCTCGCCTCGGACACAATGAGAAGATAATTTTTTTTTTCACGTGACCCGCCAAATTTAAACTTGCAATTGGGCTGTATCGTACTACTTGATTACAACGTTGGACATCTCATAAGCCGATTATTGACCATTCGAGGAATTTTGCCGCGGCAAACCTTACATGGTCTCGCGGCACACATGTTGCGGAGCTCTGATCTACGGCATGCATGCCAGGCTAGGCAAGCAGAACTATTTTCAATGGCACGAGAAGAACACACACAAAGTATATACTAAATAAATGAGCTAAAGCAGATAGACTGAAAGGTCGTTGGCGCTCTGAAGGAATTAGAAATTCTACTTTTCGCACAATATTAGTTACACTATTCACTTAGTGAATGCAACACTTTCAGAAAAACTACTTAGTGAAGGCAATAATTTCTGAAAAACTACTTAGTGAATGCAACATTTTATGAAAAAACTTCTCAGTGAATGCAACATTTTCTCAACAACAACCAGACACTTTTTATAAGTTCGTCAACAGCATAACAATAGAACTGGAATACACAACACTCCCATGGCTTAACAGCAACGTCCATCTAACTCACAGGTACATGTTTAACCGCGATGTCCTTTCAACCCACACATATATGCATGAACCGCGACGTTAAGACATACCTTTTTTAACGGCGACGTCAGCACATACATGGTTTAACCGCGACGTCAACACATTTTCTGTTTCGGGTTGATCCTGAAGTGTCAAAGTGTCCTCGTTTTATAGCCATTTTCATTGTTTCTATAGAATAGTAGTTACTATCCTAGTGTCTCATTTGTATTTACTTAGTTTACATGTTTTAATAATTGTAAAGCGCTTAGAGCTTTATGATAAGCGCTATATAAAAATGCCTAAATAAATAAATACATAAATACATGGTTTAACCGCAACGTCAACACATACATGGTTTAACCACGACGTCAATACATACATGGTTTAACCGCGACGTGAAGACATACATGATTTAACCGCGACGTCAACACATACATGGTTTAACTGCGATGTCAACACATACATAGTTTAACAGCGACGTCCTGATACCCACGCTTAATGGTCTAAGCACGACCTCCGGATAATACTCACTCACGCGGTTGAACCGCGACGTCCAGGTAATCCACACTTACATAGTTTAACCAGGTACCATGCGGTATCGCTCATGCGGCAAGTATCCGCCACGTTGACCCATATACCGAGAGTGACAGATCTGGAACAACCAGTGCCCCCCGTCGTAACACACTGCAACTGCGATTGATTGACTTAACCAGGCACAACAAGCTCCTCCAGCGCATTTGCTGTCACACATCGCGGGCCACAGGTAGTCAGTCAGTCAGTCAGTCAGTCCCCAGGCGCGGGTTGCAGGGATCCCCAAGTGTCTGTCAACTTCCAGCTGCAGCCGACACCCTGAAGCACTGCTCGCGTTGTGTGATGAAAAACCAGTGTTTGTGACGGTGTGCGTAAGTGCGAGCGCGCGCGTGTGTGTGTGTGTGTGCGGGAACGCTTATGTGCGTGTATGTGTGTGTTATGTGAGTGTGTGTGTGTGGGGGGGGGATTAGGTAATGAGAAAATTTTAACCTGCAAGTTATGCGTCTTCATTGAATTATAAAACATTTAATATCTCCTTTTTTTAGAGATGCATTTTATGACCTTTAGAAACATACGCAATTCTTGGACTCACGCATTTCCTGGGGTACTCTTTTCATGATTGAAAGTGTCCATCAAATTAAAGATGTGTTTTTAAAAAAAAATGTGTGATGAATGAAGTTCTTTATCATCTTAGAACAATAAAAGAAGGGGTCTTTCAGTTCATAAAGTGGTCTGTTAATCAATGATCTTGTTTTTACATTTTCAATAAATTTATTCCTCTTACATTTGTTTAAAACGGTGAAGTTTTCTTTCAATGTAGATTTTGTTTAATGCTCTATTAATGATGTGGATTTTCGATGTAAACATTGTTTAATGTTCTATTAATGCATTTGTCGTTAAATAGTATTTAATGTTCTGTTAATGAAGCTGCTTTTTTTCCCCGCTGATAGGGCCTACAGATAAACATGAATTACCTCTGTTAATGAAGGCAATACTTCACTTTACAGATGACGCTAGCTGGACCCCCAATTAGTCATGCCTTGCACGAAATTCTAACGACATCAAACAGCAAGTCTCAGTCTTACTCCTGCTCACTGCTTAGGAAACCAAGACGAATCCCCCCTACCCCCCTCTCCACCTTAAGCTACACAAAAAAATATATTTTTGTTTACAGTGCTTGACATATTGAAGGTGACACCATGGGCTGTCACGTTTCCTGGTGTGACCTTGAATACTGGTCGCTGCCCTCGTGTGGTGGATGGTTGTACAGGTGGATGAGTGTAGCGACGAAACCAGGTTAGAAAAAAAAGCTGGATAAGACGTCTGGAGCCGGGTGCAGGAGTTATAATCCACTTTGTTTAATGGATAGATAAAACTTCTTTTTTTCAAATACCACACAAGAAATTTTTAACCAAACTTCGATATGTGTGAAGAGAAATAAAAATATATACATAGCACGGCGTACCCAGAAGGTCATCTGGACAGTCCATCCGGTCACGCCACCAGTACTCTGGTACCAGGTCTCTCGCCTCTTCTTCCATCAAGACCCAACTGACACATTCGGTCTTCCAGGGCACCACTGTAAAACTTGTTTACCAGTACGCCACTTTCACTCTACCCCCCCTCTACCCCCCCACCGAGCTACCAGCCACATACAGGCCGCCTTCGGCACCTAGGCTCACTAGCTGTCACTAGTTTTACGTCCATTTAATATAAGCTGTCACGGCTCACCTTGTCTAGAACCAGCTGGTGGTCTATGAATGTGCTTGGCAAACGTGAATCCTTCTGAAATAATCACAATAAGAGCAAACATTAAACATATTTTAACACGTCATTAGAAAAAAGCTTCGACTTGCAAGCATTAAGGAAGGATTTAGGGCGCCAAGGAGGAAAAAACGTGTGCACGGAGGGAGGTCAGAAATGATTCAGATGTTGATGGCTCCCATCACCAAAACCAATGAATTGAAGTATGTGCATTGAATATACGCACAGAGGAAACCAACCACGGCCTGACGTACTAGGAGCACGTAGAAATATGTTCGATTTAATATATATATATATATATATATATATATATATATATATATATAATTATTATTACTGAATAATCATCATCAGTGGCACTGTAATCCATGGAGGGTTCTGACAATCTACATCACATTCTTTGACTTCATCAAAGACCTCATAGATGATCAGTGATCATTCCGAAGCTAGGGTCGATGCCGCACAAGGCGGGCCACACTTTTTGCAGCACAAGGCGGGCCAAACTTTTTGCCGCACAAGGCGGGCCAAAATTTTTGCCGCAGAAGGCGGGCCAAACTTTTTGCCGCACTCCCTTGACCCCACCAAAACAAACTCTTTTGTTTGGTCGAAAATGCCGCTCCTTATTATTAATAGAACTCCCCCCCCCCCACCTCCGAACGCTACTTATAACGCCCCTGCTTCGTTCCTTATTTCGGGCCTCATAATAAATCAATTTGATAATCTCATCCGGCCCATCCAACTAAACGAATTATCTGTCGATTAGAAGATTCGCATGTCCTGAACACTTAATAGTGATCATTCCATGACACGATGCCACACAAGTGTTTTTCCTTTCATCTACACGAGACATCAAACTAAATACAATCCAATAAACAAACAGAAAATACAGCAACAAAAAAAAAAGATACTTCTAGACAGATGTCATTGAGTGACAACAGGGCTACTTTTCAACCATGGCTTCTTCGAGCGGCAAGTGACTGCTCGCATCAAGGGCGAATCTGGATCCATTTGTCGTGTTTGTATTATTGATCTACAGGACTTTACCAATCAATACACCTATGCACGTGTGCACAAAGTAGGTCATACTGGCCATCGAATATGGAGAGAAAACCTCTAAACAAATCAGATTTAAAAAAAGAAAAAAAAGCATGTGTCATTTTTACCTATATACGACATCAATAGAAATTATAGAAATGGATTCTGGATAAATGTTACTTATATATTTTATATCAAAGTGTGTAACTATATCAAACTTTATATTGCTCGCTGTCTCTCTCTGGGTATCTCTATCTTCATCTCTCTTTCCCTATGTTTATGTCTCCCCTTCCTCACAGGTATCTACCTCCTCTCTGACCTAATGACTAGACAGAGAGCGCAAACATATAGTTAACAATGAAACTTAATATGTATATTTATATGTATAAATTACAATGTTAATATAAGATGGATTGAGAATCGAAAACGGCTGGAGGTTTTAGTAAATATTATCATAATTAAAAATTTTAAATGACTATTCGAAATTTGCCTCTCATAATTAAATGCATGAGAAACTATTTTTTGGCGTCTTGGCCAGTTGGACCATCATATCTTAATCTGAACCAACCGATCAGCGGCAGAATTGAGACTGTTGATTAGCACACATTTTCTCAAATCTTGGACAGTAAATAAACAGACCCCCACCCCCTTTTTCCACCCAAAAATGTGTTTTATCCAAGTTGATTTTCGCGAAATATTAAATTTTTAATGAAATTGGCCGTAAAAAAAAAAAAACAGGTTTGAAAAAACTAAGAAGTTTGAAAATGGAATAAAAAAATTGACAGAGATGAATTGACCACTCAGGAGGATGCAGTCATTTTTTAAAATTAATTTGTTATGATATACAATATTTATTTAATTCAATGATGCAAACTCCTGATTTCATCGAGATGATTGAAGACAACCTAATGTGATGGTCTTCATCAGCTGAAGCACATTTAGACGAAGCTCTGGATTAAAATGGATATCGAATCCAAGCGAGTGCATCGATATTTTCCACTTAAAATTGAAAAAAAAAATACGTTTCATTATTTTAGAATGACACCTGGTAGAGGCAGCGGCAAACAAATGTTATTTCTGAGTGAGATAGTTTGTTCGCAGCATGTTCGCTTGGTGTCACGGAGTCCTGATGTATTGATTTTCAAATAGAAATGCCATCATACAAAAAGTTGTAATGTTTCATGGAGGCTCTCCGTCGAACCTCCGCGCTCCTCGGGACGTTGCGGCGCACACTTTAGGAAACGACTGCGTTAGCGAAGAATTTGCGGAGAACGATCGATTATCATGTTTGAAACAGTGTAAAGCTGCCAGAAATGATATAAATAGATTAGACGTTGTGTAAAGATGCTAGAAATGATATAAATAGATTAGACGTTGTGTAAAGATGCTAGAAATGATATAAATAGATTAGACGTTGTGTAAAGATGCTAGAAATGATATAAATAGATTAGACGTTGTGTAAAGATGCTAGAAATGATATAAATAGATTAGACGTTGTGTAAAGATGCTAGAAATGATATAAATAGATTAGAAGTTGTGTAAAGATGTTAGAAACGATGCTCAAATGGTACAATGTGGGCCTTAAACCGGGTGCAGTTTTTATACCGGGTTCCAACAATTTGGTCCAGCTATTTCAAAAAGAGTTAACTTCTCATTTTCAAACAACCCTACAGACAGCCCTACAGGCAGCCATACAGATTGCCCTACAGACAGCCATACAGACAGTCCTACAGACATCCATACAGACAGCCATGCAGACAGTCCTACAGACAGTCCTACCGACAGCCCTACTAACAGTCCTACAGACAGTCCTACCGACAGCCCTACAAACAGTCCTACAGACATTCCTGCAGACAGCCCCACAGACAGTCTGACAGTCCTACACCATACCCGTGGCTTTTTATTGATCACTATAATCGTTGCCTTCGAAAAAAATCAACATTTGTATCTGAGTTCAACAGTCACGCATGACGATAGCTGCTTGACAGCTTTTTTAAAATTTAATCTACTCAGTACTATTTATATTGATTAGGGGAAGGGCGATTGTCAAAAGGAAGCAGGACACAATAGAAGCAAAATACATATAAGAGATGATGTTAATAGGTTATACATCATTTTTATATGTTTAATTGATTTTTATTTTTATACATATATTATACATATATTATATGTGATGTTCAAATGTTAGAGATAATTCTAAATGTCAGAAATCACGTTAACATGTTTGATATCATTAGGTTAAAGGGACCAGACACAATTCCTGGCATTTCCGTAACGCGCAGAGCGTGTTTAACTTCCGTCATTAATAATGAAGGCTGGACATATATTGATTCTAGCTCAGCTTACGTGTTTTACACTGGGGTTATGCCTTATGAGTTTGTGGCTGTGGTGAGATTAGCTGTGTGGTGTGTGGCGTATTTGGGAATGCCAATTCGGAGCCATTGTAAAAAAAAATAGTTTGCGGATTTTTAGAAATTAAAATATTCGTATCTCCGG